TATTATATTATATTATAATATATTATAATATATTATATTATATTATATATATTATATTATATTATATATATTATATTATATTATATATATTATATTATATATATTATATTATATTATATATATTATATTATATTATATATATATTATTTATTATTATTATTAGCATATTATGACCACACTACACATTATCTTCTGAGGCCCCAGTGAGAACAGCTTTAATTTAATTTTAATTTTTTTTTCAATGAGACATTTATGTGACAATGCAATTGCAATTATTCGAGTCCTGTTTGTGAGTCTTTTCTATATTGTGATAGTGGTAATATAATTGACAATGTAATAAAAATTGGAAAATTAATTTATTCAATTGTATTTTCAGAATTTGTGTGTAATATTATATGACCACGCTTCCTTCTTTCGTCAATTCTCTGTCATTAATGTATAAGCTTTGCTGTGACTAATTTCTCTTAATTTTGTATGAATTAATCTGTATGAAACTTGCTTTATGTATGGTTTCTAATTCACAATTAGTCAAAATATTTTTTAGCAGACATACATGGAAACTAGTACTTACCTTCATTATTCATTGATTGAAAACTGTAACTTTGCACAGTTTGCATATGGCAGAGTCCACTTTGCCCTAAGTGCGCCACAAAGAAATCATGTTAAACAATAATATCTTATCAAATAAAACAATTAAGTACTGAAAAGTTAAAAAAAAAAATCACCAGTGTGACATGAATCAATATGGCTGCTGCCTCAAGTTGAGAATGACCCCAAGATTATATACTTGTAAGTTTCCATGAATTCATGCTAAATAAAAACATGCTACTAGTAAAGTGTCCTTGGCATACTCTTTTCAAAACGTTAGACTTGGCTCTGCTCATTGCCACTTGTATCAACATTTCATTTGTAAGCCAAAGATCAACTTTCTGTTCTAGTTACTTAAATAACTATTTCTGTCTTCTTGAAAGGGCTGCAGTTAGTAAAGGAGCTTGATTATGTGCAGGTTTCTGCAAGGGAAATGTACCCTTGACGGCTGCTTGTTGTCACATGACGTGGGCCCTGAGAAGATGCCCACTTGTCGCTTTTTTCTGGAGGGGTGCTGCGTTCGTGACTTGTGTCCGTATTTGCATGTGAAGGTTAATGACCGGGCACCCATATGTCGCAACTTTCTACAAGGCTACTGTGCTGATGGACCAGAGGTAAGTGTGGTTGATCCTTTTGTATGTCGATATCCTTTATATTTTTTATTTTTATACTGTTTTGGAATTAAGGAGATCATAATGTGTCTTATTAGTATTGTGTGCTGTGGTATTGTTTTAAGTATTTACTTTCATCGTTATAAGGGAAGCTTCAGTATAGCTGAGATAAAGATCACTGTGGAAACCTTGATTGAAACGTGAATTGCGTTGGAATGAAATGAATCCAACAAATATGTGCATAATAGGCACAGTCTAATGGAAGTTCTACAGTTGTAGGACTTGTCACATAATTTGTGGTTGATAATAGTGTACATCAGGGAACATTCATCATAACAGAACATGAACCCAATTTCCATCCATATATTGTTGTACAATACTTAAGCTCACTGATAACAGGAGTAAATCTAGATTCTCAATTTGTTTAATAAAAAATTAAAAACAAAATTTAATTCATGAATAATATGTAATAATTTTATATATTTTTAATTAATTACTTAAAAATACAAGGCACTTTCCATTACATAATTTCAAAGACAATGGAAAGTTGAATCTAAATGAATAAATATACAATGATGTGTTCTTAACCATAACTGTCCAAGCATAATTGTTTATGTTCTGTCTGTAAGATCCTGGCATACTGCAGTTGCCCTTTTTACTCTCTGTTCCTTCATATCCTTTAAGAGGTGGAAATGTTTCAATAAAATCTGAAAAATTGGCAAAAGTAGGTTTGTTTCAAATTTTATCCCACCTTCTTGTGTATTCTTAATTACAATTTGGCTATTTTAAGTTACAGGCAGATTCCTCACAAGTTGCAACTAAAAATTTGCATCTCTCTAGAACATAGAACTCAAGAAACTAATTTGACTTATTGTTTTTCAGCAGCGAGTTCGATTTTTTGATACCGTTTCGCATTACTCTTTATTTAATTTACAAGAACCAACTAAAAGAATACTTTAACATTTAGAAGTGAATCACAATAGGTTAAATAATGCATTATTCCTAGCTGTTGTACTACTTCCTCAATCATTCTCAAATTTGCTCTGTTTGCCAGTTGTAGGATCTCCAGGATACTAGGTGCCTCAGCAACGAATGAGTTTAATGTTTCTTGTAATGGATGCTGAGAGAAGTTTATTTTCATGAAGTGTTTGAAAAGTGATGTGGTGGTTGAGTGTGCTAATCTGATTCATTGTGCTCTCATTAAAATCAATTGTTCATTTCTGTTTTCATCAATACGAGCAGTGTCTGAAGCGGCACATCATGCTGTGTCCCGAGTTCGACAAGAAGGGTTCCTGTGCCAAAGGTAAGTACTGCCCCTACCCTCATTCCATTGCCCCTCGGGTTCAACGGGCTATATGCTCGGAACCTCCCATCACATTCTCAGAACATAGTGAGGAACAATCCAATAGCCCTGCTCCTCTAAAAAGGAAACGTTACTACGAGGCTGAATCTGATGAACTCGGTGAAGATCAGATCAGTAGCTTTAACCTCAAGAGGAAACGATATTATGAAACGAAGACTGTCAGCAAAGGTTCACATGGCACACAGTCAAATGTGGACACAAGTGCAAACGATATTGAGCAGAGCACGACCGAGTGTCCTGGCAGTGTAGGGATGAGCAGAAGGCCTAAAATAGGCTCTCTTCCATCCTTCATTGCTTTAGAGTCTTGTGAGTCTGACCAAATTGATTAATTTATGAATAACAAAAGTACTTTAATTTTTGTCTTTTTACTTAATCTCTGTACATGTATTTTGTAAATATTCTTGTATACTTTTTTGGGGTGGGAGGAAGTGAAGAATCCATGAAGATCCATATTTCTTATTTCTTTATACCAAAATGAGATTTCTGTGCAATAAAAATGTGTGGTCTGCTCAATGTGCTAAAGACAAAGTACAAAATACGGTGTTCATTAAGTATATAGAGAGTTGAATGTGATGTATTTTATAATTGATGTAATATTGATTCGTAAATAAATATGGACATTTTATGATTTTAATTGGAGTTTTATTTTAAGCCAGTTACATTTAAATTATGATTGTATTATTTTAAGAAAGTTTCGAGAAGAGGTCATAAAAAGTGTACATAATTTGTTCCTAATATCCCAAAAATCCCTGTGGCTAAAATCATTAACCTGTAGTACTTGAAGAACATTTGAAATGATGCATTAGGCAAAGATAAAAAAAAAAAAGTTTTGAGACTAAAATTCAAACGTTGAAATCAGTAATTTAATAAATTAGCAAACCCAAGAACGGATCTTCTGGTTGGTGGAGTTATGTAGAAATCTGTTTTAAAAATCACTTCCAAGTATGGGTCCTACTAAAGCGAAACTTCTGCTCATATACTACACTTTTCTCTATGAAAGAAATTCCAAACTTCTAAAATTGCAATTTCAATTATTAGTTTTTTAATAATATATTACAAAGTTTTTAGAAGCAGATACTGTTGTTATTGTTTTGTTAAGGCAGATGATGTTAACTGTGTACCTGCAAATCTTTAGTCGTAACCAATTAAAGGGAAATTTGAAGGTTCATGAACTACACAGGATACACTAGAGGCTTACTCAGGAAACATCTGAAGGAAAGCTACTTGTGAAATTTTCAAAATTGAGATAATTTTTTCATTTCAAATGAAAGAATCACATTTTAAATTTCTTGGAATTCTATAGTGTTTCTTCTCAGATAAATTTTGTTCTTTGTGGAGTTTCCAATGTAATAAATAAGAATCTTAAAGCTATCAGCTAATTCCCTGAAGCACAAAGGCAAACTATTGTCCTGTGCCTTGCTTACAATTTTTACTTTCTTATATACATATGCAAATACAGAGTAATATGTGTAGAGAAAATTTTGTAATGCTGGGGAATATCAATTTCAAGATTTCAATGGAAATTCACACTTTGAGGACCCTGAAATGTCTTTCCTGCAATTTAGGAACACATTGTTCAAAATTTGGGAGGACTTTACATACGACACTGAATATAAAAATGAGAAGAAGAAAATGAACCTCTATTTTTTCAATTGGAATGGCTTTGATGTAAATTTTACTAATTGGTAAATCATACTAGTTGGTTGCTGCTGCTATTAGAATAACTTTCAAATGTGAGTTTAATCCTTGTAAATATTAAAAACAGTATTTAACCGTGTTCTACTTGAAATTACCTTAGGAACACCAAAATACTGCTCGAGAGAGACCATTAATAATTTGGGGAAACTTCACAATAAAAAGGAACATTTAGTGAAATTTTCAATCTTTATAGCTTTTGGTACTAATTGCTTGTGAAAATTAATTTATGAACCAAATTTGTAAAGAATTTTATGATCGTTAAAATTGTACTTGATTATTTTTGCAAAAAGTCAACTATTAAAAAGTTTTTAAGAAAAAAAAAAAGCCCGAAAATGTGTTTTTTTGGCTACGAAAGCTTTTCCCAAAGTATTTCAAGATGGGCAACTTACTGATAATATAAACAAAATAAAATCTGCTTCATCTTTTGCCAGGTGAACCCTGTTCGACTGCATTAAAACGTGTGTGCAATGCAAGGGATTAAACATGACAAGTGACGTAAGTAAGATTTTCTCCGAAATTGATATTCCCCAATCAATCTGACTGAAGTCATGGCCCCTGGGAATTTGGAACAGATATTTTGATTTTTGGGAGAACTTTGTATGCAGCCTGAACATTCCCAATTTTTCCCTCTCAGAGCCAAAAATGCATAAAGAAGTGATGTAGCTTCCATTTTCGATGAGTTCTTTTTTGATTAAACTTTCTCCTCCATGTACAGGATGCTTGAAAGTGGTATAGGTCTTGTTTTTCTTGAAATCCATGATTTTGTGAAAATTTACTTATGGCATCAGCAAAAAGCTGACACATATTTTAACAATCGTACATTTCAATTGAATAATTGTACATCTGCCTACTGTTATACTGTGGTAACGCAGCCAAGATCATGGTATAATATCCAGCAAGGAGGGAGCAGAGAGCAGCAATCGGATTCTCTTTGGTTTCAAAATTATTTCATATACATTGATATTGGTGCAATATCTTAAATACTGAATGTCATGAGATCTTTTTCATTTTCTGAGGGTTGTGCAAACATACAACCTAAGCATGAGCCGCCACTGCTGGTGAGTAAAAGAAATTCGCAGTCATCATACCGGATGGTCATGCAATCAAGATAAAGAAATTATTGTTTCTTTCCACGAATGTAAATTTTTGAGTTAGAATAATGTGAATATTTGATTTGTAGTTTTTAACATTCATTCCTTTCTAATGGTGATTTTTCATTGTTTAATTGCTTTTTGGAACCCATACTTTACCCAAAATAAATATCTTTTTGCTTCCCTATTTTAGGTAAAATAAATTCCGGAATTTTCAGGCTCTTATTTATTAGAGAAGTAAAAAGATGTGTAGTCTAATAATACTAAACACATATTTTTGTGTGTTTTGTAGGTCAAATAACCAAATTACTAATTCTACCAATTGTGTGTAACAAATCTGATAAAATTGCTAATGTGCAAATCTCTTATTACCCAAATTGAGTGTACACAAAGTAGGAAAAGATTTGCTGGATGAAGCTGGATGAAGTTGACAATAGCCAAATTTGGCTAGGGTAGGGGAAATTAAGTTTAGTGACAAGGAATAGCAGATGATAGCCTAAGTGATAAAACTAAGATTCACCTACTGGAGGGACATTTCTAAGGCTAATGAGAGGCCAGTTGTGAAAGTTCAGAATACTACTGTGTCACCATTGTTCTAATAATACTCATTACGAACTAACTTAACCTCACTACATAATACTTCAGTGCAAGCATTGCTGTGGATTTCCAAGTTGGGTTGACAAGACCTACTAAGAATTCTCTCAAATGTTGCACTACACTCTCAAGAAGCCAAGAAAAAACACGAGGAGGAGATCCCAAAATGTTTACTCCCAAATTTGGTCCACTCTGAAATTTGTGTTACACAACTTGTGTTACTTGCTAAACATTGAGGCGGTGAGATCAACCATGGTCAGCTATGGTGAAGTTCAAATACAGACAGATTCTTTCAGCTGGAAAGAGTATAGAATAAAACAAAAGCATTGCAATGTGAATATTTATTGCACTAAATCTTTGGTAATACTGGGAGTAACATCAATCAACAGAAATACAAAAACACTATTTTAAACAATTATGATTCTGCTGTACAGGGAACAATTCACAAAAAACATCTACAACACTGAGTTTAGGGATGTTTCAGAAGAGACCAGTTTGAAGGTTGGTTGTAACCCAAAAGAATTGGGCAATGGAGGAGAAGGGACCATGAATTTTTATCCACTTCCTGTGAAACAGTCAACCAGTCTTGAAGCCATTCCACAATGTCTTCTGTCTTCATGTTAGCAGGGTTGAGACCTCGAATAAAACATGCCTAGAATGAAATACATGCACAATCAAAAATATTGACTACTTCTATTATTTTAATAATAAAAACTGAATCTTAAAAAATGGATTGTGAAAAATCGAAAAAGAAATTGTATATTATCGATTAACATTTTAGAATTTATGAGAAAGATTCTCTTCACTTCAATGAAACAAACAGAAACATAAATCTAAATTGCAAGAATTTTTAAAGATTCCTTCACTTTTGATGCGCCTTGATTCGCCATGGCCCAATGCCATTCTTTAATGCAGTTAAAGCATTTACATGCTTATAATTAATAATTTTTGAAAAATTGTATTAACAGAAATATAACTTGAACTGAACATTGGAGCCATAACCAGAAATCAAAGAATTTGATGTTGTATTTTATTATTTTGAATGCATTGGCAACATGTGTTTAGACACAGTGAAGAGAAAAGATAGATATAATAAAGCTTAAGTTATGCAGTTAATGATAGCATATGGCAGTTTGATGAAGGGTGCAAGCAATTCTCATCCTCTTGCAGTTATAATAAATACCTCAATATGTTTGTCATCATATAATTCTTTAAATTAGGAAGTTTGGCTATCAAGATTCACTGCAAATTGTGTACTATTAAGGGCAGTCAGAAATGATTTGAACTATCCATGCTGCTCTCACTTTTGAATAAACGACTTTTAAAGAGAATGCTTATGCAATGATAAATGATGGTGACATTGGCAGAGCTACATTCTATCATAAGACTTCTCTCTTATATTCACTGCAAGAGAATTTCAGACCAACTTTTAAAGTTGATGCATTCGGATGTGTGAACAAGTATTTGCTGCTTGCTCCATGATCTTACAGAAATGCAGAGAAACAACCAGTGAACTTGAGCTACGAATTACTACATGTTTTACAACCAGAATAGAGGAATTTTCTTTAGAAAACTTGGTTACTGGTGGTAAGTCTTGTTTCCTGGTTAAGATTCTGGAAAAGAGGCAGTCAATGAAGCAAATCAGGGTTGTGCAACTTGCAGGCTGCATGCAACCCGTGGCGATATTTTTTGCAGCCCACCAAAGGTTTTTAGTCATGAGCGTAAGTCCATTGCATCCATGTTGGATGAGAACATTGAGGCCCTTCTGCACACGCCGTGACGGGGTCAAAACCCCCTTAATGTACAAATATATTAAATTTGGATTTAAGAATTTTTTTGGTAAATTCAGAAATCCAAAATCATCCCAAAGTGTTTCCCTGCGTTTTGCATGAATGGCGTGATAAGCACGACACAGGGACACACATTCCTTCCCCCTTTCAGAGCAGGGTAAACTGTCGAAACCAATAATACAGGAGAGTCAGGAGTAGATCGCCCAAGTTTTGAAAATATGCCTCGCAACCACATTAAAAGTATTAGTTGTAGCCCTTGAGGCCTTAGAAGTAGACACTCCTCACACGAAGAAGTTTTGTTCCAGGCTTACACCCCAAAACCACATTGTTACAGTTGTCTGGGATGAATATGGAATTTTGCTGGTGGACTAGCTTTCCACTAAACAAACTGTAAATAGTGAAAGCCCCTGCAAAAACACTAAGAAAATTGCAATGCACAATTCAGCAGTGGTGGCCTGATATATTGGCCCTTGAAGTGTTTTTTCAAAATGATATTGAGAGACCATGTGCTAATTGTAAGACGACAAACTCTTTGGCTGCAATGGGATTTACAAAGCTTTCTTACCCTACTCATTCTCCAGACTTTACAGATTTACAACCCTTTCCAACTATTGTTCAACAACAGGAAGGAAGTATTAGGAGGTTGACAATTTTTAGGTGCCAAAGAAATGCAAGACACTGTCCACAACTGATGCCACACTACTAAAAGAATGGTTCGCTACAGTCGTTAGGAAACATTCTAAACAAATGGGAGCTGTGCATTAATGTAAGGGGAGAATACTTGTATTTTCATCTCTCTCATTTAGCAATAAAATTTATATTTGGATTTTATAACAGTTGTCCAAATCATTTCCCAACACCCCAAGAATATGGTTTAAATCTAAGATGTGGGTACATAAAGTATCAGTCGGAAGACTTGTTGAAGAGAAAAGGTTTCATTTGCTATCTTGTGCCATATATCTATACATGTGGATTAAAAGCTATGACTCTAAATATGGCAAATTTAGAATACAAAACAAATGCAAAAAAAAATATGCGTCTTCCAAAGTTTTCTCACTTTCCCCAAAATTATATCGCACATCCTATTTAGAGATGGATATTTTAGAAGAGAGATGCCAAAACAAAAGAGCATGTCTTGCTTGTTCCAGTGAATCTGATATTGAAAACACAATAAGGTTAAATTTTAGCAGCAAAAATATACCAATCGAAGCTCCTCGTATGTCATGGATTCAGGACCTCCTTCTCGAATGATAGCTTGATCCATACAATGAATCATTTGAGCTCGTTCAGCTAATCGCTTCCGCCTTCGGAATCCCACATGCATCCCATGCATGCGTAGAAGAGCTGTCTGAAACACCAAAAACAAACAAAGTTAACATCTGTATGTATCTGAATGAAAAGAAAATTAAGCATATAAAACATGAAAAGTGACACTGTCCTATTACTTATCTGCAAAATGCAATTAAAATGATGAGGTAGTTTGAACAAGCAATATTGAAAATGAAAATTTGTGGTTCACAATGGCACAGAGTATTTGTGTATTGAAAAATTTAATAAGTAATGTCAATTTGTTGGGATGCCTTGCAATGATGACTTCCAATGCAACTGGAAGTTGAAGTATTCATAAAAGACATGTACAGGAAAGAACAACATTATTTGAGAGTTGCCAGGTGTATCAATAGTGATGTTAAAAATTAAGCATTTAATAGAAATGTAAAAATTTGTATGTTTTACCATTTAATGTATATTCATAAAAAGAATAAGGAAGTAAAATTTTTCAAATTATATTTGAACTTTCCTCTTTCAACAATACAAATGAATATTCACAACCAGAAACGCTTGTAAAACTAAAATGGACTGCAATTTATGCAACTCTGCCCCTGGCAGGTGTCAGCTGTTGACGGTCCCATCCAATCAGGAACATGAACATCACCATAGTAAAGCCATTATGATGACATTTAAGCTCCAGACTGGATGAAACTGTCAACAACTGATACCTACCACGGGGCAGAGTTGTGAAAGTCACAGTATATATCAATAAACTATGATTTTTTATATACAGAAGGGGGGAAAATTGCTGAAGACATACCAGTCCTTGCTTCCATTTTGTTTGCATGTGGGAACAAATATTACATTCTCACTCATTTTCTCAAATCTCAATCAGTACGTAAAACCTACAAAGCACTACAAATGAAGCACAAAACAACAGAATACATAGCAAAGAGGAAATTAGTATTTAGAGCCACAGAACAACATGGTATTTCCTTCACACATACGTATGCCAAGTGACGTGTATAAAAAGGAAAGTAATTCAATGTGAAGAAATATTTAAAGGCACAAGAGAGAGACAAAAATGAAATAATAAAATTTTTCTTTGCAATAAAATACTCTGTGCCAAATTATGTTATTTTTTAATACTCAAAAACTATTTTCCAAACCTTTTGAACATTTTCTTATGAGTAATATTCAACACTAATGGGTTATTCTTTATGGGTACGTGACTAACCTTAGGATTATGAATCCTACAGTATGATGCTGTTCACAAATTTTTCAGGATCCATAAACTTTGGAAAATGAAGTACTTATTGCAGCTTAGTAGTAATTTTGTTTTATTGTAGATAAAACATGGGTGACAAAGAACTTATTAAATATTCCTTACCAGTCAACCGTTAACACACTTTTTTCAAATTAAAAATGTATGATTCAATTAAGATGTAATGTAAAATATTTATTATATATCATGTTTTATTTTAAAACTGTTAATTACCTTTGGATAATAAGGCTAAGAAATTAATAAGCAAGCAACACTTTCAAAACAATTTACAATAGAGAAGTATTAGTTACACTAAAAACAATGACAAGTACGCTCTCCACTTTACAGCAATTATTACAAACATCCAATATGGCAAAATTAGATATGCTTTGATTGATGCTTTAGAAATTGTGTGTAATTTTATTATTTTCAGCATGAGATTAAACAAATTTTTACATCTCGAAGGTCATTATGTGATAATCTATTAACTTTCTTGTGCCACGTTTCATTTACCAGGGTATCACCACAGAAGTGTGGTTACAATCAATCATGTAAACTACCCTATTTCAATCAATGATATATTGTTACATACCACATGTCCTGAATAGATCTGCAGTAAACTATAAGGAGAGCCACTAAAAAGTGGAAGAAACTTTAGAATTTCCTCTGGCGTCGGGTGAGTTCCACTACCCAAACAATCCAGGGCCACTCGCCACGACTCTTGCAGAGGATTCTTTTGCAAATTTTCTCCATCAATCTGTTCTTGAAGAGCTCGAAAAACAGGGCGATAGTTATAGAGTCGCTGCCGATGAACCTGGGTAGCAAATTCAAAACGCTGCTGCAAGGTCCAGAAGTGGGTACACAACAGTTGTCGTGGAAAGCAGAACCTGAAAAAATATATCATACAGTCAAATGATGATGTTATCCATTTACCTTCTAAAAGGGCAATCATTAAAAATACACCTGATATTTTACTGTCAAAATTTGTGAAAAAGTTGAAGGCCTTTTTATTAGTGACCACCTTTTATCTTTTTGTATCAAATTCAATAAGTATGTAAAAACTATGTAACATAAGTATTTATAATATAAGAATATTAAATGAATGGTAGGCATCTCCACCTACACAAAACCTTATGAATTCAACAGTTCACAGTTTATAACTCTAGAGAAGTGTCACCCACTCAAAGTAGCATATTGTTATAATATAACAATGAAGTACATGCTGTACAGCAACACAGTTTATTACAATTTACTTAGATATCAGAAAAACGTCACAAGATTACAAAGCTTCTTTAATACTAAGGAACATTCAATTTTTCATATATCTTCTTAATTTTATAGTAAATGATATTTTGACAAATGGAAATTTAAAAATTTGGTTTGTTTGTTTTATGGCATTCCATCTTGCACTGAATTGTGAGATCTTCATTCCTTCATTATTGCTAATGTATTTTTAATTCTCTAGTAGTAGTACTGTTTACACAATAGAAAATAAGCACATGAAGATGCACTTTAACAGCCACATACCAATTACGTGTCAATGATAGTAACCTTAAGAGGTGCATATTACATTAACTGTCACTACAAAGGACAACCAAATGGTAATTAAACTAAAACAGGATATGTTCTTGATGAATTGCAATGAAAAACAAAAATATACAATTTTACAGCTACTCCTCAATGCTAGCAAGTAGAATTTATTTTAAAAAGATTAAAATTCTTAAAGTTAAACTGAAAATTAAAGCAATATCAACATTGCGGAGAAAAACAATTAATACAGAATTAAAATATTGAATAGTATTAAGATTATTTTATTTTTTATTAACTACAATCATTCTCTCTTTTCTTCAGGCAGACTTTTTTCATTTATTAAAATACAAGAAAAATGTTTGAAACCTTCAATCTCTTAAAGAATAATTTATACTACCATTGTTTGTAGCTGTAGATTTTAGTTAACAATGTTTTCATGAAATGAAGGATAAAATGATATATTATGAAATTTTTAAAAGCAGTAATTGGAAGGATGAGTAGGAATACCGTTACTATAAGTACCTACACAAGAGGGAGAATGATGTAGTTCGTCAAAGGAAGTGTAGATAACACCAAGAGAGGAGCTACTTTTTTCATGTCTCTAGGCATCTGATGAAAAATTTCTATTTCCTTGCGAGTCAGACATGCTGTTCCTATTTTGGATTTGCGAACTTTCTTCGCAATTCTTAAAAAAGCTTTCATGTCACTATAGAAGTCCTTCATGCCATCTGTAAACACTCTGTAAGTACGTATGGCAGATGGGAACTTGGATTCCAACTTTGCAGAATAATTTTGCACAAATTCCAAAAATCTAGAGAAGACATATTTCCTTATCTTGTTACTTGGTTGGTTGGGTGATACTGTAGATCTTAATCTGGTCTTAATACATCCACACCTGAAAATGTAAAATATGTTTACTTTTTTCTCAATTTTAAAGAAAACCTCTCCACAACACACAGCTCCAAATCCCCTTCAAAATTTTTATTTCAATATATTTTATCCAGATTATGTTAAATACCGTACAATGCTTACCCTTGAATTAACGGTGAATTGTTTTGCTGAAGATAAAACGTGCGAGAAAATCGCAACAAGGCAATCGGAAATCTATACATTTTGATCACAGATACACAAGTACAATCCTAGGATTCATATTTTTCGAAACTGGCGTAATTCATCTTTAACGTATCCGGTTTCGACCACGACTAAAGAGAATAATTCAATTTATTGTGATAATTAGTAACACGAGACCCATAGTCCACCCACTGTCACCCTGTTTGTTACCACTTTCTCTATCTCGCTCTACCTATGTCCAGAGAGTATTATGATTATGTGCCTCTGGCCCACTCTGTGGTTCCGCACTCTATCTCTCTCTGCGCAGATACAGATTGCACAGTTGACGCGGTTTTCGCTTCTCTTTTACTTTACACAGTTCGACACCTGGTTCGACACAGTCTGACATTCCTGCAATGGTAAGGCGGCTTTTACAGATACTTCATGAATGAATCTAAAGCACGACCGTGTCTAAAGATCGCGCATATTATATTATAATTATGTATTGGGCTGTAGCTTCCTAGAGTAAAGGTAGCCACGATTTGATCAGTTAATTTTCTTGAAAAAATTAAAGTGGTTCTTTAGGGAGAAAATTCTTCCTTGAGTACACTGCAGTACACTCTACCACTCTATCGTGTGTGAAAACACTCAGGAGTGATTCTGTGCGATTGTCTGCATTTGCACTGCAGCAGTCTATACCATGCTATATTAGCATTACCTTTCGGCGCGCTTTGGTAAACAACTCCTCACTAGCGAACCTAGTGACGAGACCTGCAAACCGGCGGCAAATTCAAATTTCAATACATTTACCAGAAATTCTTTCTAGGACACTCAGGAGAATAATTTCTAGGAAACTAACCTGACGTGTACAACGCCTTTTGGAGTTTTACAGTTTGTAATAAAGCATTTTTCACATCTTTACCATGGAGGAATATAGAATACTATGTGTAGAATACTATATTCCTCCGTCTCTTTATATTACTTAAACAATTGAAGTTATCTAGAATGTTTGAACTTCCTGTAAAACTTAAGGAAGTAATTAAAACGCACACAGCACATAAAGTTGTCAAAAACCTTTCTTCATTCATTGCTACTTTTGCTTTTCTATTGTTGCTTACACATTTCACTTCTCTTTGCTTATGTTCTTTATTCAAAAAAGTCTATCAAAATATTAATTCTTTTATCCACAAATATACATTCAACATAAACATCTTTCTGGGGCTAAATATTTATAATTTGCTTTAATATTTGTTATACTTTGTGAAGTAATTTTGAAAATTGCCATTAAATATTTATTTCTTTATAAAATATTATTGCAGATGCATTAGGGTATAAGCATTTATAAGTGTTATGGTTCTTTTAGTACAATATTCACATTCATTTAATCATTCATACAATTTTAATTTGACAACACATTGCGACATTCTTCATGAAGCATTCTTCTACAAACACATCCTCACACATATGAGAGAGCATAGTCCTGAATCACATTCTCTGGGATTGATTCAGTATGTATTTCAGTATATGCTTTTAACACAGGTTTCAAATTTAGTTGGGATTTTTTCTAAATCTGATTACAAAACCAAAATTTGTTTGGATCTACTGCAGCTCTACAACATCATAGGTTCTAGACAGCACAGTTGCTGACTCCTGAAGGCTCCAACCGCTGATTTGTCATTGCTAACTTCAAAGCATTTTTAAATTTAGATGCATCAGGTGTAGACGGCATTCGCCAAGTCGCGAGCAACAGCTCTCCCAATACCGAGCAGCTGATCTGCTCGGCAAATGTTTGCTCCCTTTGATGTCTCCTAAAGACCAACACGCGGTGGGTATAGGGCGAGGACCGAATGTTCGTCGCTCGGCGAATAGCAAGCGACACATCCACACTATGCGGGATTCGGCGAGCGGTCGCACGCTACTCGCCGAATGTGTGGAGCCCTCTGTAACATTACAATTTTGCCTCTAATTGCTGAAAACATATTTTCAATACAGTCTAAGGTGAGGCGTCTTTGTTAAGAGATAACTTAAACCAAAGTCTCTCTGTAGTTCTTTCCACAATCAAAGCAGCAATATTTTCCATCCATCCTGTCACACAATGTGCTTATTACAAATAACAATATTCCTGAGAGATTTCAACATTTCATCCAAAAACTTATTCTATTTTTCGTCTAAATCACGGCGGAAAGATGATCTAAATGTAAGTAATTGTAATCGTACGTACAATAAAGATATTTCCAACACATTTCAATCACATGATTACGAGTCGTAATTTACGACAGGTCAGGCCACTAAAAGCCCTAGCGTCAAATGTCTCCCACTATTACAAAGAGTGTCCTGTATTGACTCTTATGGATTTATGAATACATAGAAATGGCAATATCAAACTCTGCTGTTTCGCAAATGAAGCCAGTCCGTCAAATTGGTGTGCCCAAAACACGTCTGTCAAATACGATAGTAATCGAAAAGTTAATATATTCAGCAAATAAAGTAACTTATAAAATTTGTTTTTAAGTTTACTATGTAATTTTAAAAAAGAAGTACCAAGAACTTTGGAAGATTATTTCATTATCTAGGGGGTAAATGCAACGAGTTAGAGTTAACTCGTTGGGTAAGAATGCGTTGGCACTTTTCATAACCGATGAAAGGGCACGTAGAACCATTTATACATTCATTTTATTACAAAGCAGCACCTTAGTATCATCACTAAGGTCATGATACATCGAACCTTTCTACATTACATCGAACCGTTTCAAAAAGAAAAGGTATAGATTTAACGTGTGTTGATAAAATAATGCTTTTTTACATACAATTTGTCGATAAAGTTCGCAGAGAGAACCTAATTAAACTGAAAGAAAACAAATATTGAGAATAACATATGCAATAAATCACAAGCATCTCGGCAAGCACATAATAAAGCAAAACAAGGGGCCATCTCAGCATTTTCCCTGATCCTCGAGCAAATGCTGAGATGGCCCCTTGTTTTGCTTCTATACATAAATGTAACTTCAAACTAACTTCTCCCCATAGCACGTCACACAGTTCTTTAAAACTGTTTTTGACGTAAATAAATACAGCCAAAGACTCAGTAATTCTCGGGTTATTCTTTATTTTGTAAAGAAGAAATAATAATCTCTTGTACTATATGTACGAGTAAATCGTCGAACGTAATTATTTGATTCGCCACGTCAAGTAAAAGACACAAGAAAAATTACCCAAATTCTTACATTGAATTACTACTCACACCAAAACCGTTCGCAAACTAGTTCAGTATATAACAGTAATGAAATAATCACAAACCACCTGAAAACAATCCAAGCGTTACATGTCATACGGATCATAAATCTGGTAACCAATGCATTTTCTGAATTTGCTCAGGTTCCTATCAAAAGCGCTCGAAATACGTAGATGTTACTGCTGGATTTTCTACAGCAGCGCCACGAACGTGGAAATGAGGAAGCTTTTTTTAAAAAAAAATTGGGAAGATATGAACCTTCCTTAGCACCTCGTGGTTACTATGGCAACAAGATTGAAGCTTGCGGAACACTAAAGAGTGTATATCCAAAGCACACGAGTTTACTTTTCAGAATAACAATGTAATTCTTCTGAAGTGTTACGAAATGGCAGAGCTGCTAGATCATTCTCTTCAAGGAAGATTAAGACATTGGCAGCGAATGTGTCGTACATTTGTGAAAAAAGTTTCATTGCAAATATATTCCCGTACGGAAAATGACATTGGGAAATGCGAAGTTGTTAGAATCCACTGTGACACATGACAACTATAGTTATTACTTATTTTTACTTATCTCAACTTTGTTGTTACTAGATTTACTTATCTGAACTTTTATTTTAAAGTAATAATTAGTAATGAGGTAATTAACTTGAATATTGCTGTTTTTCTTCTTATTTGTTTACATATAGAGTGATTTATCGAGTATTGAATTGTATGTTTTGTTAATCATTTTTTTTATTATATTAATGTTAAAAAAGTATATTGAATATATTGGATTTTCATGTGTTAATACACACCAAGGACTGGTCTATATATTGAAATAAGGGGTGGAGATTTGGAGTGACTTATATTATCTTTATGTTGAATGCGTCTTTGTTTGAATGAAGAATTTCAATGGCATCACATACAAAAGTAGACTGTTCCTCATATCAGATTGTTAAAAGTGAATCATCAAAGCTTCAACATGTCTCTTCAGCCCTGCCTTTGAAAAATATTTCTAAAACACGTAGTGCACAACTGTGTGATGCCCTCCGACTAAAAGTTCAACAAAGTTTTCTTGAAAAAACACAAAAGATTTTGATATGTACTTTAAAGAATTTAGAACCACATCACATAAAGGATTTAAATGATTATAATGAAGAATCAATTAAAAAAAGGTAATACTAAATTAATTTTAATAACCGTTTTATGAAGAAATTTTGTCTTTGCTTTAGTTATTACAATTTTCAGATTGCAAGAAAGTGAAAAGTTGCAGAAGGAGGTCATTGCAGTTGTTCAATTGTTGAAAAACATAAAGAATGATGTTACTATTGAAAAACTGAAGGAAATAAGTGAGTATGGCTGTAATTAATGTAAAAGTCCTACAAGATGAAAAAATGTAATTGCTATGATTTTTTGAATATTTTATTAATACACTTATTTTAATTGATTTAGTTAATGAAACTGATTGTTATTTATTTTAGATATAGCTCAGTTTGAGGCAAGTCTGATGGATTTGGATAACAAAATGTCAATGTTAAAGGATATGTGTGGGAAACAGTATGTATGGATTCATATCTTGACATTTAACTATGAAAATAACACAGGTTTTATAAATTTTGTTTTAGAGGAGTTTCTTTGGTTTATGAGATGTGATAAGTTTTTGTTGTTTGAGCAGAATCACCTTTCTGCGCCACCAAGAACAGGAACTACAGGTTCATGTGACATCAGTATCAAATAAAATTGATGAATGGTCTAAACCAATTAAAGTAGATGCGGTGCTTCCAAGTGTCCATCAGACTGCTGTTTTGTTCAATTCAGGAAGTAATTATAATGAGGTATATTCCTTTTTGTGGTTTATTTAGAGGAAATGTTTACAAATATTGGATACATTTATAAATTTTTTTAAAATTGTTTTCTCATTTTGAAGAATATTAGTTCATTTCAAAAGTTTCTTCAAATTCATGGTGGTCATACCGGTGGCTGGGATGAAGGTGACCATATAACTTTCATTCGTTTGCTAAGAAAATATCCAAATAAACAAATGCTTTACACACATTTGCAAGAAGAATTTCCAGGTCAGAGTTATTTATTGTTGTTGTGTTGTTGTTTTGTTTATGAAATTAGATTCAAATATATTGAGATACCTATTTGTTATACAAAGCAATTTAATTTTTCTCCAACAATGGTTTATTGAGTGATCTGGGTTATCTGATCCTGGATGCAATTTAATTTTATATATAATATGTTTATCCTGTTTGTATTTCTGGAGTATTTATTAAAAGTTATAAGATATGTCATGAAGTTCAGTATTTAAAAAAAAATTGTAAGTTAGTGTTTTTTCTTTTTCTTCTTCTCTTGCTCACTTTGATTTTTCTTTGAGAAGCTTTATTTTCTAGCTAGTTCACATTATACATCACTATACTCAATCTAATTTGTGATCTGTCCCTAAAACCTCAAGATGATCATGCTTGAACATTGAATTCAATTTCCCCAAGAATTGTAAAACACATTTTTTTGCTTTTTTATTACATTGGTAACTATATTCAGAAGTCACAGTTAGGGATATAAAGTAAAACACTGGTCTATTAGCAGTTTCAACAGTCATGTGTAATTATAATAATTATATTGAACTATTAATATTTTATGAATAACTAATATTTCAATCCATTTCACTTCATCAAATCATCATGTGTGGTGCAGAGTAGGTAGTGTTGAATTCTGAACATATAGTGAGACCCAATTCATAAGCAAATATGAACACTTTGCTGCTCAAATTCTCAATAATTTATAATATTAAAAGTCAAATCATCTAAAAAAACCTTCATCTAACTTTGTTGCCATGTCAACAAACTACAAGCATGTTAAGCTTCCATTGACCAAATTAGGGCTACAATTGACAAGGAAATAAGAGACTTCAAGAAATAAATTAAGAATCTATTTCAATAATTGACTGAATCCCAAAGGTCTAGATCTCCAAATTAACCTTTATTATATTGCAAGTTTTAAGGAAATTATGAAAATGCATTAGGAGTTCAGGGTGAAATACCTCTCAAAAAAAACTGCACATCCTAAATTTCAAGGGGTTGAAGCATATTGATAGCAGAATATCTATTTTAAAATTAAATGTTGGGTACTTTGTTAAAACATTCCATGTAAGTAATATGCTTTCTTCTCTGGCCACAAAGTCTTGTACAATGATCTTGAATGATTATTTATATTATTATGTTTAACTGTGTCACACCCATCTTTCAGGACATTCAATTAAATTGTGTTGAGTTGAGAATATTTTAGTGACAATAATAGATAATTTTACATGTAATAGCAAATGTTTTTATAGTTATATTTACCTACTATTGAGTCTTGAGCATCAGCTATCCAGAAGATTTCTGGCATTTTTAAATAATTCATCAGACAAAAACTGAGTTACCAATAATTACTTTTTGAACGTTATTTCATAGTTTTCAATATTTATATGCTTCTTTTCAGGAAATTTTATTGATTTAAGTATTATTCTAATCTCTTGAAAACATCTCTTCTCTTTTGTATCCTGTTCTAAACTTCAATGGTATTCTTCTCTCACTGCCAAGTAAATATTACATGGTTCAAAGTATTTCACGTGTGTACTGGTTGAGTAATAATATTTATACATTGATGGGCAATAGATAAACAACTGGAGGAACTTAAAGAACACTGTCAATGGTTTGCTGAGTATGAAGATCTTAAAGTAAAGCAAAAGCAAGCAATTACTGATTGGCGTGCCTCTAAAAATTATTCTTTACGTAAAACAATGAGCTGTTCTGCACCATTGCCAGTTCATACCATAGCCAAAGAAGAAAAGAAACTTGATTTTTGTACTAGTGAGTACAGAGAGCAGCAAAAGCAACAACTAGAACAATGGAAGGTAAAGATTTATGATTATGCAAAATATTAATGACATGTATAAAAACAAAATCTAAAAAGTTACCTTTGTGTGTTAATATTCTAAAATTTAGAAAAACAATTGTGTATTGTCAAAATTGATTCTCTTTCAGAACATGAAAGAACTTGAGGCAGAAATGAAAGTTCTCAAGAAAAAAGAAGAACAGCAGAAACAATTAATTGAAGAGGAAACAAGAAAACTTCGACATGTAAGAATATTTTTTAAATATATTGCAACCAAATTTATTGTCTTACAGGTGGTGGAATGAAAAGACTTTTCATTACTTTAGTGTCAGAAGGGAATCTGTGAGAATAGCTGTAGAATATTAGAGGAGATTGATACTTCTGTGTATCAACTATCATTTACCTAGAGGAAGATCCAACAACCTCATTTATGTGGGTGGGAACATGTTTTGTGATAAATAGGAAGTTTTTGATTCAGCCAACTATTTCCATTTGTCTTATTGAATTATATTGGTCCATGTTATTCTTCAACCACTATTTAAAGAAAAATGTTACTAAATTGATCATATATGTAATAATGAAATAATGTATTAATTTCTGGGTTGCCTTTAAACACAAGTAATTATCCTATTTTTGCTCATGAATTTATCTTGATTCATATTAAACATTTTTCAAGTTTTTTTATCACCAAATACATTTACAGGCCATACAAAAGGCTGAAGTAGAGAAGTATAAAAAGAAAAAGTTGAAGGAAGAGCTTGCTGTGGCTTTAGAGAAACAAGCTTTAGAAAATGCTCAGGCAGAAGAACGTGCATATAATGCCAACAAGTCATTGAAAGTTTTCAGGTAATATTCTTCTAAGTTATACTTTTAAATTGCTCTTAAGAAAATAATAAGTCTAAATGTAAAGGTTGGATTCCTCATGTTGTAAACTTGAAGTGCTTAAGATCAGATAGTCCTATACCATGTTTTGGCAAAAATTCATAAGCAGTATCTATTTGACCCACGGTAAAGTTTGACTCTAGTTTTAAATTTTGAGAATAACTAGCAGAGTAACACAGTACATTTTTTTAAAGATTCCTTATAGTTATGGGAGTATCAGACACATTTGGCCTTAAAACTCAATTTCAGTCTGAAATGAGAGCATGTGGACTAGGATTCTTTCAAGACAAAATGGATACTTCTGACTTCATTAGATTGTAAATAATCATGAATTGTAATTTGAGCAGTAGGAGGGAATGAACAAAATATGCGAGTATAAGATCCACTACCAATTATTGTTCCTTGCATGCAAGCAGTTTGGTAAAAACTTTTAAAATAGCTTTCTTGTTATATTAGTTTACTGAAGATTATTTATTTATTCTTATTTTATCTCTCTTATCTTTCTTATTTATTTGCATAAAATTCAATAAAATAAAATAAATATATTTTTTGTTTGTTTTTTGTTTCTTTTCTGCTTTTTCTTCTTTCAACACACCCATTCAGTTTTCATATAATTAAATCGTATTAAAACACATTACAAGCAGCTCAGGGCAACAATTGTACAAAGAATACCCGTGACCCCTTCTTGTGCCTTAAAAATTTGTAAAATTTATTCTGAAACACCTAGGATACCTGCAGAGAATGCCGACAGTCTCTGTCAGAGAGATTTTGATTGTTTTTACGGCGCTTAAAACGTGCATTATTTTAAATTTGATCGAAGTAAATTTCTTCATAGTTGTCAACTAAAAAATATATTTTGTTCAATATTGATTTGCATTCTCCCTACAACTCCTGCGAAGAATCAGTTTAAAATGTGAATCGATGTATGCATGACTCTGTAACCACCATATGGTGTTGCTGCTTCTCGTAAGAAGCTCATTGGAGCAGCAATTGTTCCCGATTGCCAGTACGCTGATGGACATCGATGAGACAGCGTGGAAGCAGATGAGTACGGGCAACGGTGGACAGTGTTGTTTCTCTGGAGAGACGGAGTGACTGCTTCAGACATCCTCAGTAGGTTGGTAGATATGTGGGGAGACAGCAAGTCGCAGATCTGTGTTTGGATGAGTATCAGAGTTCGAAGACGGCACGGACTCTGTTGGAAAACGCAAAAGCACTGGGCATCCGGCAGCTGCGCGCCAACCAAGCAATGCCCACCGTGTTAATGACTTTATAACAACGCACAGATATTCAAGTTTCATGAATAAGAAAAGGGACAGGTCTACCACGAGGAACCATCCATAAGGATTTGAAGATGTTGTGTACCCAATAGGTGTCCCATGCCCTCACCATTGCGCATAAACAGAAGCATGTGTAGATGTAACACGAGATTCCAGAAAATAAACGCCAGTCTATGGAGCGGAAGCATTCTGGAGGCTCTCGTTCCAAGACGTCACGGCCGGTAGTGCACAAGCAAATGGCGACAGTGTTCGGGAATCAGGAAGGCATAATTCTAGTGGATTTGCTTCCTCCCAATTCGACCATCAACATATACCGTAACTGCAGTACACTGCACCAACTCCGTCGACGCATGCAACGCCGCCGCTGCGTTAAATGGGACGTGACGTTCTCCAACAAGACAATTCGCGCCCACTTGCCTTGTGGCCACCGTCAGTTGCTAGGGTTTTCTGTGCAGCTACATCCTCCATATACGATGCCGTAGTCGACGCAATGAAAAGAGACCATGGATGATGTGAAGTTCACCACCAATGACGAACTTCATGCAGTTGACCAACAGTGGTGCCGGTATACACCTTAAGAATGGTCTGCAACGTAAATATGGAAGCTGCTAGAACGATGACTAAATTGCATAGACATTGGCCTGGAAAATCTGTAATATAATAATCTGTATTGTTCGTTCAGTAAATAGTTCCTGTGAACACAAAACAATTGTTGTGTCAATCATTTTTGATCGCCCCGACTACCCCATTTCAGTCAAACACCAAAGCAGATATTTTATTGGTAATTAGAGTTGAAGCATGAAGAGAAAATTATAGCATGCCCCTCCCACCCCTGAGAAACACTATTCACCCAACTGCTGTGTGTGTGTAAAACCACACGAGTGCGCGCGCTTCTGTGTGTGCGTGTGAATGGCTGTGTGAGTGTGAACACGCTTGCGCGCATATGCGTTGATGGGATTGCGATAACTCTGCCTTTTCGATGAAAGTGTAGACTACACCTTTCAACGATTCATGGTTCTCTGTGGATTACAGGCAGAGAGATTTGGAAGTTCTTACGCGACAAAAAGAAATGAAAGATAAACTTCAGCAAGAAAGAACGAAAAAGCAGAAAGCTCTGGAAGCCCTGCGGGAGACGGTGCGCATTGAAGCGGCTCGAGACCCTCACAGGTTGCTGCGGCCGACTGGCGCTTGGAGGGAGCGTACCAAAGTTACAAGGAGTGCAGATGCGGGTACTCGATTAGCGGTGCCTCTCAATGTTCAGCAAATGCCTCATTTGTAAGTAGAATCTTAGCTCTTCTGTAGTCTCTCGCTCGCTCTCTTCCATCTATCCCTATCTCTCTCTGTCTCTATCTCTCTCCATCTATCTATATATCTCTCTCTCTCCATCTCTCTCTATCTCTCTCCATCTCTCTCTATCTCTCTCCATCTCTCTCTATATGTCTTATTTTCTCTCTATATCTCTCTCTTTCTCTCTCCCTTTCTCTCTCTCGTTTATAAGTATACGCGTTCTAACGGAGAAACAAAATTGGAGCCATTTGTGACAAAGGTTTGAAAATATCCACGAGGCTTCATGAAGTAGGTACCCCGCAAAAATCTAAATATCCTTTTCAGATTCGAGGTGCCGCGTTACGAACCAAGTCAGTCGACAAATATCAAAAGCTCTAGCCGGATGAGACGGTAAAACCTGACCCCGCTTGAAATCAAAAAGTAAATCTTTCCTAAGGATTGTGACCACAAAAAACATTTTTCATTGACATTTTAGATCCCTCCTCCTCACATCTTTCGTAATAACGAAAACGTGTTGTTTTTTTAAGACTGAAATAGCCGTATGAATTTCTATGTAAAATAATGATTTTTTATGTGAAATTTTCTAAATTTTTCAAATTTAATTTTAAAAATTTTATTTGCCGCGAAATTTGTTTTTGAAATGTGTGGACGTAATCCTTACGAAATATTTACTTTTCGATTTCAAGCAGGAGGACATTTCCATCTTATCCGGCTAGAGCCATTTGGTGAAAATCCTACCGACAGTTCACATTTAGGGGCCTTTTTCCCGTTGATTCAGGATTGCACTGGTGGTAGACCAAAGTTCCGGTATTCTTTTTGAGGAAAATATGAAATCGACAGAACTATTGCTGAAACTGTAAGTTTTGACTATAATACTGTGGCGTCTTTGCCGGGGCAATAAATCACAGACGTGAACGGTTTGTAATTTATTGAGTATGTATTTGAAATGTGCTCCAACACCTTAATACTATGTACAACAATTACAATAAACAATATTGACCCGTTACTGGAAGGAATGTTCCTGGTCACCACCACCGCTGGCCTGATAATTAAATATCTTATTCGGTGTGATGCACCAGTAGCGTAAGTGAGCATACAAGCGAGTATGCCGCACATCCCGTCTCGACGTAAAACGCCGGCTTCGGTTCCCTGCCTCAGTAGCCTATGCATTGAAATACAGCGCCGCGCACAACCCACACGACTTCCTACCGACGCCCTCAAGAATCTGAAAAAGTTTAGGTCCGGAGTCCGTTTATATTTCCTTCGGGGCCGGCTGACGGAACTGCGACATCTCGCTTTTTCCGCCGACGCGTTTCCACAGCCAGCCTGTTTAGAGTTCACAAGTTTGCCCCAAGTGGTCTACGGGGTTCACAAGTGGCCACCCACGACACGCTCCCTGGGTTTGCCATTGTTCAGCGCGGCGTCTCATCCCGCAAGCGCTGTCCATGAGCATGGAATGCACGTGGTTAATATTTTGTCATGGTTTGTACAAGGCGACTGATATGACGCCACAATACAAACTAATGCGGTGCTACAGAATGGCTCATAATTTGTCGCATTAGTTAGTTTTCTATTCTGGAGCACCTTCGTGCTCCAAGAACATGGCATAGGCGTATGTCACATATCTTTACTCGTTTGTCTATGGTATTCTTGGCACAATCTCGGAGCTTGTACCATTGTTCTGGGTGTAGAGATCTAGTTCCTCAATTATACACATATACCTCACTCATAGGATTTGAGTATAAATGTATCACACGAGGGACTCTAAATGCCTCTCATACAATGAACACAACTTAAAACATTCATACCTTACACAGCTTCCAAACCCTTAGCCCTAGTGGTCACACAATAGGGCTCATCTGCACCAAGCCCCTGTCTCATGAGCCCGAATCATTTAACCATATTTGTAAACCTGTTACGATTTGGTCAAAATAATTTGATAAATTATACTAACTTACGTCTGACCTTTTTATCTATATTTGGCCTTCAGTGTAATTTTCGGCATTAAATATACTTTAATTACTTTGACGCTATCCATACCCATTGCGGCAATGCAAAAAAATCTTTTTAGCATTAAAATATATTACAATTGCATTCATTATTGGACAATTTTCTCAAAATTAATGTTTAAGCCATTTAATAAGCGTACGTATCGAGAAAAAATTGTGGAGTTGTTTTTGAGAACTTACTAATTTAAAATTGCCGTTATTCCATCAAAAATTAAACGAATACTACTTATGTTTTCGAAAAATTGTACATATTCATCTTTGATATCTCGTTCTGTGTTCAACAAAAATTGGGTCTACGCCCTTTTTATAACCGTACGTTGCTCTACTCCAAAAAATCAAAATAATCGTTTGAAATTCACAGAATTTTGAATCAGGCCGAATCGATAAAGGAATGTATCCTCTGAACGGCTTAGACGAGGAAGTGATATATATATATATATATATATATATATATATATATATATATATATATATATATATAATTATATCTCACATTTTTGTGTTTTGTGCCAATTCTCTTGTACAATGAGGTAGCTTATTATTAGAGGGCGGATTTCTTTTCACGTCAGTACAATGCCGTTTAGTATAGAAATTCATTTTATGTTATGACGAATTGAAATAACCTATTTTTATATGTCATTTTTTTGCATTTTTCGTCGGTTTCGACTATTAAATCAATTTTTTGCGTTTTTAAGTCATTTTTACTGATTTTAATATTGATTGATTTTAATATTTTAATGGCATTTGCTTCACCCAGTATTTACGATGTTCAACAAATGTGATTTACTGAATTCCTGAGTAGCTTTTTTGATTTCTTCTCTCATATATTATGTCAGCCGTTGTGAGTACTATGTAATCCAAGGTTCCTGTGACGTTTAATGGCGCCGGTGTCAGTTCGGCCGATTTCGCCATGAATAAAGGCAGATATTTTCTTCTAAAGAACAGTCCAAACCCAAAGTTTACAAGCTGAGTTTATTGAACAAAAGAAAGAACCTACGATTACATCGGTAACATATCCAACAGCTTAAGATGTTAAACTAAAGTGTTTTTTATCAATTTTTTACGTCATTTTTCTTTGCATTTAGGGCGTTTTTAAAGCATTTTATTGATCATTTTTTATAATGTTTTAGGTCATCAAAACCCGCCCCTTAGCTATTATCCTGTAATCACATGAAAAGTGTGTGTTTTAATGATTTTTAAATTTCTGTTTCAGAGGTATTCCAATGTGGCGGAAAAATCAAAAGTAATCATTTGATTACGAAAATAATTGTACCATATTTTTGAAATATTAGACAATATTTTGTGATTGTGACAGAAAAAATATATTTTATAAAATGTAAGATGATTTATACTCAATTAAAGTTTATACAATAATATCATGGCAACAGTGAAAACAGAGAAAGAAGTAGATGATAATACACTGCAGCTGAATGTGTGCTGGAGAATAAATGTATTACTTCCAAAATTCATCATTTGATGAATATGATTGTAAGAATAATTATTAATCATCTTCTTTACCTGCATTATAGTGAACATGAAGTTAATTGGTCATGTATATATGGTTCTTATTATCATTATGTTTTAGTGATGCTTTTGATGCTTTGACTCCAAACATAATAAAAAATAAATATGTATCATGTTACTTTTCCAATGACTGAATCTCCTATAAATGTGAGGTTTTGTGCATTTATGTATATGGTTATATTATATATATATGTGTTAATAATATATATATATATATATATATATATATATTATATAATAGAATATATATATGTATTTGTTCACTATATTATATAACACAATCTATCTTGAAATTATCTTATTCTTGTAAATTATAAGCATAGGCATGTGCAGCCTATAACAGAGGGAGCAACTACATATACAGGACTCTGGGATCCCTGTTCCATTGAACATTTACAGGTTTGCCAGATGGTGTGGAGAGCACCTTACCTAAAATGTTGTGAATCAATTCCCCGAAAATAGTAGCTTAAAAAAGAGGAAAATCAGGAATGGATCATATTTGTAGAAATAAAATGATTTATTACATATATCTACAGGTCCCCTTTTGACATTTTCAGGGGGCTACAGATCCCTTGTGCACATGCCTATGATTATGAGTGTAATTTAGTTTGAATTTCACAACTACAAAAGAATATGTTTTTTGTTTTCAGTTTATTTATGTGTTGTTGTATTTTAAATGTTGATTTATGTGTTGTATTTGTGTTGGTAATAGATACAATTGTCCAATGCCAATTTGTTATTTTTTTATAATCAGTTGAGAGCTATTTTTAAGGAGAAGTATTTAGTGTTGGGGGAAAATTAAAAAAATTAAACACAAGTTTGGCCTAAAAAAATTTATTCACAAAAATACAGTGAAAGACAGTAAAGTTGATATGGGAATTATCTTTTTAAGTATTATAAATATTTTTACTAAGCCATTGTGGTGGAAAATAACTGTGTTCAAAGAATACCATAGTTCACCTACAGAAGCAAGAAAATGATGTATCTTCACTTTTTCATTGGCTCACGTTCTGTTAAAATTACACATGTGTATCCAATGTCTCTCACTCACATTAGTCTTTGTCAACAAGTGTCAGAGTGCTCTCATGAGATATGTTCTTAACCTGGGAGTGCCTGCAATGTATCTCTCAGACATAGCTGCCATTTTTTTCTGAATGCAAATGATCTGAAGGTTCATTGACTGATATACGTACTTCATTCAGTTTGTACACATCCCCCAATTCAATTGTTAATTAATCTTACACTGTAGAAGTCTTGTCTGAAGGTAAAAATTGACAAAGTATATGTAAAAATCATTAAACATCTTATTATCCTTTTAAATAATATTAAATTCAGTTTCCACAAATTATTTTGTCATGTTCTAAACAAATATATTTTACTTTTTCGCAAAAATATTTAGAAAGTCTTAGCCTTTTTTTTCCATTTTGCTAGGTTCATATTTTTTTCATTCATCCACAAA